GAAAAGAGGAAGAAAAGCTGGTATGATGCACACAGACAGCAATAATTAAATGTGTGCACAGTGTATGCCCCAAAAAGTATTTAAAAAAGCTTCAAAAAGAATGGAATTAACATAACCTTCAATCATTTCTTTATAATGACTAGTCGAACTATGGCTGTGCCTCATTTATCACCTGTGTACAGTTTATAATTGGATGGCATTATGTGAAAACATTCTTATCATTCAGAATACATTTTTTAGTGTCAAGCACTGTTTTGGTAAAACTCTCTGGAATACTAATATGTAATGAACCTGTTTTTCTGTCGGATGATAGAAGATTTATTTTCTTAATTTTTTAGGGAGTTTATATTCTATGCACTTTGAACGGGGCTTTGAACATTCTCTTTCAATGAGTAGCAGAATAAATAAAAAGCAGGCTCATTCAGACTCTTCATTAATTAGTATGCTCCACTGGTTTATCACAAAGCTCTCTAATAATAAAAAAGAATAACTCGGGGTGAAAGCAAAAGCATTTATTTATCCATGGTGGTATTGAGGTCACAGAAATAACTAGTCATTTTTCTTTGCATGTCTCAGAAATGGTTGTGTATAGAAATATTATGCAACACGCTGCATTTGGAAGCTTTTGAATAAATAATGAGGGATTTTATATACGGAGGAGCATGTATGTTTAGTTTGACTGTTTCAGGGTATTACACATTCCTATACAGTATTCACCAGGGGCTATTTTATTACCCAGTAGCACTTTGGTTTTCTTTTATTAGACTGCTTCGTCACTGTTAGTGGCCTCTTGCTCATATCGTGTTTGTATCTGGTGAGGGTCAAGGCCACATACGATATGAGATGCTACTCAACTAAAGAGAAAATATTTCCTCTGTTATTCTTTTTCCACGGACAGGTTTATCAATAATTAAGCAGAAAAAGCTTAAAGCTATAAAACAGCCAACTCTGATCTGTGTGTTGTTATGTAACTGAGATAAAGATGCGTAATCCCCGCTTATAAAAATATGGTTTTAAAACAACCACGCACTTCTGTTACAGCTCTGTTTTTTTTAAAGAAATACATCAACATTAGGTAACAAAAACAACAAACAAATGTTAATCTACAACCAGGGACCATTAAGCTTAGCTTAGTTTAGCTAAGCACAAAACCTGAAAATCGCTGGCAAAAAGTCATGTTGTGGTTGTACGGTGGATTATATATAGTCTATTTTAAGTCTTCAAGGAGTTACTACGCCTGGCCAAGACATAGTTTCTACATATTTTGTACAGATTTTAAATAAATGCCAATCAACGGATATCAGATGATTTTTCTTTTTCTGTTTCCAGTGATTAGGCTTTAGCTAACAAGCGGGTCCTTTAGCTTCCTATTTAGCATACAAACGTGAGAGCGGTATTGTTGTCAAACTATGTGCAAAAAATGGAACCACATCCAAAATTAATTAGAAGAATGATATTTTCCATCAACAGCTAATATGAATTGATGGAGTACAATCTCCTTGAGTATTTAAATTGTATACTACTTTGTATTTTTACTCCACTACAATTCAGAGGTAAATCGTGTTCTTCTACTCCACTACATTTATTTAAAACCTTTAGTTACTTTACATATTTGGATTAATAATGTGAAATATAATCAACACTTAAATCAGACTTTAGTTCCACCTGGAGTAAATTCACAAGCTACTCTGCAGTATACAAAGCCATTAAAACTAGCTGCACCTTTAACAGCTTTGATAACACTTCAATGATCAATAATTATAAAACACATCATATATATTATTCTGGAATGGACAAATCTGCATAATAAGTACTTTTACTTGGTAAGTATTTTGTACTTTTACTTGAATAACATTCTGAATGCAGGACTTTACTTGTAACAGGTATTCCTACACTCTGGTACTTCTACTTTGTCTCAAGTACAAGATCTGAGTACTTCTCCTACCTCTGGTCTTAATCGCTGGTCTTACTGGTATACACTGTTTTAGACATATAGTAACACAACATATTTTTCCCACTGAAATTCAGTAACATTTATCTTTTTTATGTTTATGCGTTCCTTTCTATTTCTACCAATGTGAGCAGGGTGGTACCAAAGCTTAGCCGGATAAAAAAAAACAATTTTGTCATAGCATGTGCGTAGCATTTCAGCATATATATTCTTTAAAGATAAAGGATAAAGGGTAAACTGTTTTTTGGCAACCTGCTGTCATCGAGGCTGTTTGAGAATAAAAAGCCATCCCAGAAGATCAATCGGAGCTCCACTGATCACTCCCTAAATCAATAATGGCTTTGACAACAGTTTCATTGTTCACTCTATAGCACTTTGTCACCAGACACCTTTTCCATTTCTAAATAGACCGTGTAGATATTTCAGATTTAGGTTTAAATTATGCTGTTGGTGTTTCAGTGCAATAATACATTGTTAACTAAACCCCACAGCCCTTTTATTTAAATATATCATTACAACATTTCAATAAATTATTACAACATTACATTTACGGCTTAATTGTTAATGTAACGCTGCGGCTCGGCTGCTTACAGGAACCTGCAAGCATGAGCACATTATACCAATTCTAGCTTCCCTCCACTGGCTTCCCTCCACCGGCTTCCTGTCCATTTTAGAGTTCATTTTAAGATTCTATGGTTTGTTTTTAAATCGCTTAATGGGCTGGCCCCTCAGTACATCTCCGACCTCCTACAGGTGTACACCCCCTCAAGGGCTTTGAGGTCGGCTGATCAGCTGTGACTGGTAGTCCCTAAAACAAAGAGAAAGACCAGGGGAGACCGAGCCTTCTCAGCGGTAGCCCCCAGACTCTGGAACAACCTGCCCCCCCATGTCAAATTGTCCCCCCAAAGACCCACCTCTTTTCCCTCGCTTTCGAGTCAGTCTGAGCTCTACCTATTTGTATGCTTTCTTGTCTGTCCATAGCCTTTATGTGTGCCTTGTATTTATTCTTATGTGTGCCTTTTATCTATTCTTGTAATATTATATTTTGTTATAATGATACTGTATGTTCGTTGTGAAGCACTTTGGCAAACCCTGTTTTTAAAAAATGTGCTATAGAAATAAAGTGGATTGGATTGGATGTATACGATTTTGTAGAAAGTATGCTGAATAACTTTACAACAAAATGATTGAATGAGTGTTTTTTTCCAGTGCAATTAAAGAAAGAACAATATAGGGCAAAGGTGAAAGCATCTATACTAATGATTTTGTATGGCTAATATACTATATTTCATGAATGCTTAAACAATACAGCTCCTTTCTCAAAGCATACTGTGACTCCATTGGTGTGTACATGGTCATTCTGATATGTATTATTTGAGAGTAGTTGACAAAATGTACTATTTATTTTAAGTATTGCAAGGAACACTATTGACAGTAATAGTCAACCAATTGTAAATTGATTCTTTCTCAAGCTAGAGTGATTTCTACTTACAGAGCAATTAAGTTCAATTGACATCATTACAAGTTGATTGAATGGTGCAAAGGATTTAGTGAATGTTGTTTCTTGCATTGAAAAATATCTATGAACACCTCTACAAACTCATTTACCGTGATTATTTAATAGTATGCCTCTTTATACTTCTACTCCTCTACATTTTGTAAGCCAACATTTTACTTTGTACTCTTCTAGATTAATCTGACAGTTTAAGTGCCTTTAAAGATTTAGATTATTAGCTAATATAAAATGTAAATCAACTTGGAAATAAACATATTGTCATATAAGTATGGGTAAATATACCCAGTAGCAGCATATCAAGTAGTTCAAATGATCTCATAATCATAATCCAGTATTTCAATATCTATGAATCTGAAATAAGTCATTATGGTGTAGTGTACTTTAACTTTAGTAAGATGTTGGCACCTATATGGAAATATGTAGACCAGATCATGTCATTTATCATGTTAACCACAGCTTGTCCGTGTTTTTCAGAGTGATTTTGAGTTGTCTGAACACCTTTAACTGTCACTTGTGAATAACAACATCTGAGGAGTGAACGTTTAGATCTCCCCACGCCTTGACTCAACTGTGTTTGAATGTTTTTGTTTGAATCTTCTTAAGTTAAGTTTGTGTTGCAATAAAGGGAAGCCATATCTCGACAAGTTTTGAAGTGTCATTTCTACAGCAAGCAATTTGTTGGAGTGGGCGCTAAGTGTCGAGGCGAGCGTGCGTTGCAGTGTTAACCACCAGCTGGTGGAGGAAGAGAGAGAGAGGGAGAAGTTTACAGAGCGAGAAGCAAAGAATAATGAGTGTCCAGCACTTGCTCAAAGGGAATTACCAGCTTCAATCAATTTGTGTCTGTTTTAGGAACTGTACCACACACACACTCCATAAACAACAGCACTACATAGCAGATTGAAGTCTTAAGTGCTGACTGGCCTCATCTACACTTACAAGTTTTACTTTAACACTTTACGATACAGACAACTCTCTACCTTCCCTTCCTTTGCTTAATTTCTTTTTATATCTCGTCCCCTCACCTTAGAAATGTTCCTTTACTACCCCCTCCTCATCTCTATTACTCTCTTAACCCTGTTCCCTCCACCAGTTTATCCGTGCTGCCCTTTATGCTGTAGGAGAGCTGCATTAAACCTGTGCAGGTGGCTGATTGAGGTGGAAAGTAGGGATAGGTGTGTGTGTGTGTGTGTGTGTGTGTGTGTGTGTGTGTGGTGTGTGTGTGTGTGTGTGTGTGTGTGTGTGTGTGTGTGTGTGTGTGTGTGTGTGTGTGTGTGTGTGTGTGTGTGTGTGTGTGTGGTGTGTGTGTGTGTGTGTGTGTTGTGTGTGTGGTGTGTGTGTGTGTGGGTGTGTGTGTGTGTGTGTGGTGTGTGTGTGTGTGTGTGTGTGTGTGTGTGTGTGTGTGTATATATGTATATATATGTATATGCGGGTCTCCCTTGAAAAAGAGATCTATGATCTCAATGGGACCAATCTGGTTAAATAAAGGTTTGAAATGAAATGAAATATGTGTGTGTGTGTGTGTGTGTGTGTCACCTGAAGCAGTGTTGACGGTCCTGACAGCCTCCCTGGCAGTGACTCTGTTGTTCGGGGGATAGTCAGGGACGGTGTTTTCGTTGCGCCTCTCTGACATCCGTGGGCTCACCTTGGCAGGTTGATGACTTCAAAAACAGACAGAGGTGGAAAAAAATATTTATTAAAATGATAAGACGGAAGGGTGAAGGAAAAAGTAATATTGAAATAATTACGAAGTTCAGTAGGATCCACAGGGGATGAAAGATATGAAAATGGGAGTGGAAAAAGATGAAATGTTGTTTTTCTTTCCTATGATTGTGAAGAAAATCAGAGGCTGATTGTTTTTGTGTGTGTGTTTGCGCCTCTGTGTGCCAGTCTGTGAGTGTTTGTGGAAGCGACAGACGTTTTAATCAGAAACTATTTGTGCTTGAAACGCTGCCTGGTTTTCACTTTGACTGCTGACTATCTGAGTTTTACGGATAATGCCATGATACATGTGTACAGTCATCAACATACACACAGTGCAACTCTCATTGGCTCACCCTGATTGGCTGTGCTGCTCATCAATAGCATCCACAGCACTCTCCACAGAGCTCAGGAGAGACTGAATCTGATTGGCTGATTCCTTCAGCAGGAAACGGGTCACAAACTGCTCCACGTTGGTTCCTCTCTCATATACCTGGGTAAACAAAAGAGAAAAAAATGTATGATTATGTATGTCATTTGTATACCTCATTTGAAACTAAAAGTGAGTCATTCTGCCAACCGTTAAACAGCCAAGTCACCATAACAAGTTTGGTTTATATAAAAGAAATGCACCATATCCTCTTTCTTCACTATTTTCCTGCACAAATCTCTCTGAGTTCCTTCTTTGCCTCCATTTTATGGTTCAAGGGCTTGTCAAGGTAAACAGGGATTGTTCCTTCTCCCTTCTTTCGCTCAATCTTTTCTTCTGCCTCCTCCTTATTCACTGTAGGAGTTTGGCCTTCATTTAAAAAAAAAAAAAAAAAAAAAAATGTAATACGTTTTAGTCCGAGCTTAAAGTCTGGCCTTTAGAGAATTGATTGGTTTGACTGTACCAGCAGGATTAACAAAAGGCCAGACTCAGTCGTCCACCTTCCCTTTAGCATTATGACAATAGAAGCCTGTAAATCAATGACATCTTAAGGCGTGAGGCTCAATCACTACTCCAAGCAACACTGATTCGCATAGACAGCTTACACAACGATAGACAAGATGCGTATCGATCTATGGGTTAACAATCATTTTCATAGTCCTGTTGAATTGTTCCAAACGCTACAATGAAACCTTGAGGGAAAATCTATATGTTGCCATGGCATTTTCCAAACAACACATTTATTTTTGGTCAGGAAACCTGTTATTCAAAAATTGCTTCAAAATACACACTTTTTGCCACAAACAAAAGCTAAAGGCTAATTATTCTGCCAAATGAGGTCATTGAACATCCCTAGTGCATTGTTTAAATGTTGTACGACTATGATAAAGGAATGACCAATCTAACTCTCCCTGTGATTGGCTTTCCCTGATATTTCCAGCCTAACCCTAACCAACCCAACCAACAAAGACAACAATTACTAGCCAATCAGAGAGTATAGTGGGTCATACCTTTGTTATGATATTATAGTGTCATTCTGCGTAATTATTAGCCGTGTGCTTCTTAGTTTATTGCATGGATTGTGTGTATTTTCAGAACAATGGACATCTCTTGTATGAAAAACGGGCTGTCATAGCAATGGGACATTTAACATACTATTGGGGATTTGGAATAATGTCCCGTCAGAAAAACGGGCAGTTCCCATCTATTCAGGACTTGTTAATATGTGCAGATGGAAGTTTTTTAACCGTAGCAAGACTTTTCAAATTGAAAAATGAAAAAAGAGATGACATCCTGGCAACAACTTCAAAGCGTTTCAGAGCTGCACTGCTGACAGTGTGAAAATGGGGTGCTGTCAAACGAGTTAACTGTAGCAGATAAGGCTGGAGCACCTGCCTTAACTCTGATGACCTTATCACTGCCACCTTTTAATTATTCACGGATTTAAGTGTTCAACAAAAACACCTCCTCCGTACAACTATCCAATTATAGCTAAGCAACCCTAACAATACACACGGCAGGCCTTTCAAGCTTTGAATGTCTGCTTATTTTTTAAACGGTGTGAATAAGGGTGTACAAAGCACAATTAATAATAGTTTGGACAATAGTTTAAGGCTTTTCAAAAATAAAAAACCATAGAGCAACATTATAAAGAGTGAATTAAACAATGTGTTTATTTGCTCTCTAGGTTACAGTAAGCTGCAACTGTTAGCATGTCCGGCTAACAAGCTTAGTAGGCCTACCCACACTGAAGTAACACTATTAAAAACAGTCAACAAATTAATGACATTACTTTTTTTTTTTTACGGTTAGACTAATAATAATACCATACATTTACAACGTTCGCATTCAATGTGTAGATATAGCCTTTAAAAGCTAGTGTATGCTAATGCTATCTCTGTTCTTACCTTCTCTTTGTTGGATTTAGGAACGTTCTACTAAAACAGCAGTTAGTCCTCATCTTTAAAAAATGTACTATTGTTTCTCTTTTTCGTTTGAGAAGAATGTATGTACAGTATGATGCGAGTCAACGTTTGAATTTGACCTGACTAGCTTAATTTGCTTGCTACAGGTGAGGAAGGAGGCTAGTGACAGATGCTATTTAAGGTGATGGTCAATGGCTAAAAATAAAAAGCCTGGTTTTTCTGCCGATGTCTGAAATCTATGAACAATATGTTTAAAATATGTGTAGCCTATGTATTTAAGTAGTTAACCTGTGACACTTATCACTGTTACATTTGCTGTCCGAAAATGTTTAGCTTGAAGGTGTAGCAAAAGTGACAAATGGGGGTGGGGTTTATCAAAAATCAAATAGACGTTGGAGCTTTACTGTAATATTTCACTTTTGAAGATTACAAGAAACTAAACCTCTATGTCAGACGCCAGGCCATAATTGACTACATAGTACTCCAGAGAGCAAAGTCAGTCAGTCGTGTCCAGACAATCATAAGTCACAGTGCAGTGATTCAGAGAGACAATTAACGTGCCGACCAAAGAATCCCATGAGACGCAAAGTCACAAAGGACATCATTGACTTATAGTCATTGAACAATAGTCAATGGCTATGACATACATGTGTGCACACAAACATTCAACATGCAAACACACAAAGGCCTACAGGCCCATTCTCATCTTCTAATGTGTGTCTTGACAAGAGCAACCACACTTTTCTTTTGTGATACAACCAAGATAAATCACTGTGATTATAAAATCTAGCATTTTGGCACCATTTTTGTTGTCATGTTAACCTGATGACTCACTAATGACTACCATGCTGAGATTCAATTTCCAAATAGAGATACATGTCTAAATGATCCGAAATTACAAATAGGAATGTTTTCAGTTTTGTCGAAGAGATTACAAATGTATTATGAATCCATTATAGGCACTTAGTCATTAAATAAGGACATGCTGATAGATTCTTGATATAGCATGTCATTTATTTAGCATATTGAGCATGCTGATTTATTTCTCTACATCAGGACTGATGTGTGTGGAACATTTAAAACACTACAATAAATTAAAGAATTCACCTTAGGTGGAATTCTAGCAATACTTATATATTGATGCATGTGTTCAACTTAATGCACCACCATTTGTCTTTTTTCTAGAAACCTGAAATTATTTAGTATGATTATGTATGTGCATGAGTGCAGACCATATATTTGTAAAGCTTCACTGCTTATGCACCTGAAGTCCTATTAGATTACATTTTAATGACCGTTATGGTGCCACTGAGGCCAGATACATCAGACTAGCCCTGCAAACAAGATTTGCGAAAATGGAGAAACATAAATGCAAATGACTTTAATTTAAGTATGAAATATAAAGAAACATTTACTGTACAGTTAAATCACGATTTGTGCTCCCCAGAAAAATTGCAACCAACATAACTTGAAGGATTCAGCAGGAAATAATTTGAACAAGAATATAAATGTGCCTATGGGTCTGCAGTATATCTATTTTTAAAGTTGGGCAATCTGGGGGAGAGTTCAGGCAATTTGATTTACCTTTTAAAACCAACATCACACTTGCATTCCAAAGAGTATTGCCACTTTAATAAAGTAGGACTCAAGGCCTTAACAGCTGATACTGTACTCTGGGACCTTTTGCCTTGTATAGTTGATCCAGTTTTGGAAGGAATGCAGCATCAGCAGAAAATCCAAACCACAGTTGACTGATTCAAATGTTCTGTGTGCGTTTACCTGCTTGAAAATGTAGCTTCTATTTAAAACATTTGCTCCAAAGTTTCTTTCTTTCTTCCACTGTCTGCCTCTCTGTCCTCTACTGTATGTGTGTCTATCATACTGTCTCCATCTCCTGGGTGTGTCCCATGGGTCTGGCTACAAAACCTGGGATAGAAAAGCTGTGATCTATAATTCACACAGATCACTGAGGAGAGGAGATACACTGTCTCTCTCCGCTGGCTCCCGAGCACACACCGGTGATTAGCTACAGCAGTGTATATTCTTGTGTTGTGTGTGAAAAGTGTCCGTCTATCTCAGATCTGTGTGTTTCTGTGAATGTGAGTTCAAGGCAGCAGGAATAAGTACGCGTTCATCTGCTGATCTGCCTGGTTTTGTGTGAAGATCAATGAAAGAGCTCTCAACGTATCACCACCAAGGTTCAATATTGTTATTTTATCTATTTTGCACATCGGCCAAACCCTCATTTTAAATGGCTTACACAGGCAACACACAGAGCTGCAAAAAGACCTGAAGCATGTCTAAGTGTGGAGATGGCTGGTGTTTTTTTATGCAATTTATAAAATGTTATCCACTAGGAATAAGTGTCTGTAGGGTCACTAAGCATGTCAGTGCGTGTAGAGTGTACAGGGCTGTTTCAGATCTCATGAACTTCTCTTCATCTTCTTAAGGTTAACAACAAATCTCCTCATTATTATCCACCTACGCATCTGCAGACAGAGTCTTTGTCATAAGATGGCGGCGGCTGATTACAGAGGGTTGTAGGTGGTAATCAGTGATTATAGAGGTTGGTCTAGTTAGGGGAAATTATTCCATCTTCAGTGTCTCAGATGGAGATAAAGGAGCTTAGTGGAAGGCTAGAGGTGACAAGGATGTAGGCTGATAATGTCACGCATTTTTCTTTGTATTTGACAAATGAATTTCACAAACAAATCACTTATGGTTCTTAAAAACAACAACTACTGGATATGAAGCAGACGTAACACTCCTGGATTTTTTTTTTTTTCGAAATCGAAATGGCAAAACAAATAACCAATGTAACTATACTAATACTCCTACATTTGATAGTGTACACACACACAATCAGTGTTGCTATTTGTCAGGCAATCTGTCTTCAGTCATTTCAATAAGGCCACAGCAGGGACTTTCATTGATTTGATTCACTCTAACAAACTGGCCTCTGCCCTTTACAGCATCCATCAATCTGTAATGATGGGTAACTGCATAATGCGACACTGATATACTGAAATAGCTCCCTCCTTCTTGTATAACGTCCAATCAAGATTAATGATTGGATTCTTATAATTACGCTTGTAGTGTTGTTTACTCTAAATAATGCCTTTCCAATGTGCCATTACA